CCCCCTCCCTCCTTGACCTCCAAGTACCAGATATGGACCCTGACCAAAAGTCTGGAACGTAAGATAACCACCTACGAGATGAGATGTCTAAGGAGAGCCGTTAACAAAACCAGACGGGACATGGTCAGAAACAACTAGAACAGAGAAATGGTGGGAACAACACCTGTCCTCTACAACATTCGAAGGCAAACAATCAGCTGGTTTGGACATCTCACACGTATGGCACCTAACCAGCTTGCCAGTGAAGCCTACTGCAGGAAAGTATCAGGGTACAAGGCGAGAGGAAGACCAAGAAAGACCAGGATCCAGGGTGTGAAGGATACCCTGAGAACATACAATATCCCACCCAACCGAGCCATCAAACTTGCTAGAGACAGGAAGCTCTTTCTCCTCTCGACGCCCTAGAGGTACAAGAGGACGGATGAGGTAAAGTAAAATAGGTAAGGTAGGAAATTTTGAATTTTGCACGTGTGACGGCCGAAGCCTAATTTTATCGATTTTGAACCACCATGGGATCTTTAACGAGTGCAACGTGCACACGGTACCTTGGAGATTGTTTGCCATTAACCGAGAAAGCTACCAGAAGATCAGGGGTGTGGTCGAAAGACAGTAAGGAGGAGCCAAGGAGTAGCAGTAGAAAGGCTGTAGAAAGAGTGAGGAGCCCAGAAGAGGGGGGGGGGGTGGTGAGGGGATGGGGTTAGAAAGTGGAAATGAAATCAGGCAACAGATTATTGTTAGAAAACAAGAAGGGTGTGAAAGGAGACAATTTTAGAGAAGAAATTGTTCTTCCGCTATCCAGATTCGAACCCGCCACCACTGAATGAGAGCGACCACTTTAACCTCTAGACCACGAAAGCCCCCCTTTTTGCTCTTAAACTCTCTCTATTTTCTTCCCTAGCCTCGTGAACGTTGTGGGCTGGTCAAAGAAAAGTAATTTCCCTCTCCAGCGATAAAAATGATCTATCCAAAATCGGGTGCTCTCGTGGTCATTTTTTATATTTTTTCGTAACTGTTTTACGGTGCTAGCAACTGCATAAGGTCATATATGGACGCGCGGGACACATTAAACTTTTTCAGTTGGTAGGACATTTTGGATTTTGCCCGGGTTGCGGCCGAAGCCTACTCTTATCGATTTTAGACCACCAACGGATCTTTAATGTGCGCAACTTGCCCAGGGGCCCCTCGAGATTTTTCGCACTTGTCCGAGAAGGCTAGGTGTAGATCTCGTGGACTAGAGACTCATATGATTGCGTCTTACTGAAAGGTCCCGGTTTCGATTCCGGGTAGTGACGGGGAAAAATGTTCTTCACTAAAATTTGTCTTCTTTCACCCCCTTTCCAGCTCTCTAGCAATGTTCTGTCGTCTGCTTTCGCCTCCACTTTCTGACCCCCCCCCCTCACCTTTTTTGCCCCCTCCTCTGGGTTCCTGACTCATTCCACAGCCTATCAGCTGCTACCCATTGACTCCTTCTTACTGCTGTCTTTCAGCCGAACCCCTGATCTCCTGGTAGGAAAGATCTACACCTAGCCTTTTCGGACAAGAGCAAAAAATGTTGGTAGTCCCAAGTGCAAGTTGCACGCGTTAAAGATCCCTTGGTGGTCTAAAATCGAGTCTGAAAAAGAATAGGCTTCGGCCGCCACTGGGCAAAATTCAAAATTTCCTACAGACTGAAAATGTTTTATATGTCCCACTCATTCATAAGACCTTATGCAATTGCAGGCGCCGTAAAACACTTAACATTTTTTAAAAATAAAATAATTATGGACGTACGCACTAGGAAAGGATTTGAGATCTTCTGCACGCGTCATGGCCGGATGCTCTGATGTGGTTTGCTCTTTCTTCCCTATCAGACATGTATTGTCTTTAACTTTCCTCCTTTGTTTTTTGTGTGTGTGTGTCGATAGTGGCGTAAAACACCTACATTTTAAAATAAGTTGAAAAATGCCTTCTTTTCTTTGCAGGCTTCAGCACCTATATTACCTTACTGTGTTGCAAGTGCTGTAAAACTCTTGATAAAAACAACACACAAAACATACCTAAGAAGAGTGTCTACGGTGATGGTTGGCAAACGTTCTGGTGTGGTTTGCTCCTTCCTTCCTATCGATCATCTATCGTCCGTATCTCTCCCCACTCCTTTTTTTTCTTGGGGGGAGGGGCTGGGGTGAGTATAATGCACTCTTGCATCACGTCTAATTTTAGCCTCTTACGATATGACCTAACTCTGCTACATGTTCCCTTGAACTCTTTCTATCAATAAAACGGTCCGCATCAATAGTCGGCAAATGGTCTCGTGTGGTTTCCTCCTTCGTTCCAATTGATCATCTATTGTCCTCTTATTGTATTATTATCTCTCCCCTCTCCTTTCTTATTGATTCACTTTTCATTAAAAAGTATTTCTCTCTTTCTTTTCTTTTCTTTTCTTTTCTTATCTTTATATATTCATTAATGTATTAATTTTTTATTTTTTTAATTAAAATTTTAAAAATATTTTTTAACTTTTTTTTTTTTTTTTTTGGGGGGGGGTATATTACCCTCTTGTAACACCTCTTATCTTCGGTGCTTGTCTATGACCTAACTGTGCTGCATGTGCTGTAAAACGCTGACTAAATCAAGAAGTGTCTGCCCCAATGGTTGGCTGAAGGCCTGGCGTGGTTTACTCCTTCTTTCCTATCGATCATCTAGCATCCTGATGTTATTATCTCCTCCCTCCTTTCTTTGTTGATCTATATAACCTTTTGTAACTCACCTTATCTTCGCAGCTTACATGACCTATTCGTGTGGCGAGTGTCGTTAAACTCTTGCTAAAACAAAGCAAAACAAAGCAAAACAAAACTGCCTGCGTTGGCGGTTGGCGGAAAGTCTGGCGTGGTTTACTCCTTTCCTATCGATTATATCTCGTCCTCATCTGCCCCCTCTCCTTTCTTTGTATATTACACTGTTGTAATACCTCTGTTCTTCGCCGCGTATTCGTGTTGCAAGTCCTGTTATACTCTTACAAAACAAAACAAAACCAAACACCAAAAAGCTAAGTAAGAAGATTGCCTGCGTCGGTAGTTGGCAGCAGGTCTGGTGTGGTTTGCTCCTTTTTTCTTATCGATTATAAATGTCCCCCTTGTCTCTCCTCCCTTTTTTCTGTGCATGTTCCTCCCTAGTACGTAATACCTCTGACCCTGACCACTATATGACCTACTCTTGTTGCAAGCTCTCTTCGTTGCCTCAGAATTACAAAGTTCTATCTGACATTGTTGGCCTTTTTGAGTTAGAAGTCAAAAACAAAATTATTATGTTATTATATTATTACATCAGCAGTATCAAAATTGAACACTTAATCAGTGGTGTTATCGAGATATTTTAGAAATTGCATGTAAAAAAGTTGTGAAACTCACTTAACGTCAAAGGTCCCAGAGCTAGGTACTGAGCAGATACAACTATGGGATTCTAGGGTAGCAATTACCGTTTAACCCTTTACTAAAACAAAGGCGAGCGAGGATCATCTGCGAGCCATAACCAGGCGTAAAGCCATTAGAGTCATGTCACGGGGAAACCAGGCGCTCGGTAATTTTTGGGTATGTTATAGTATGGCAGCCATTGTTTTTATCTTTAAAGTTTTTTTTGTGCCTTGTTTTGGTTAATGTCATAATATTATCTATGTATCTTAAATAGAAGCCAAAATATTCGCATATGAAGGAGGAGGGGGTCGCCTAGTGTCAGAAGTAAGATTTGCGAGACAATGACCACAGAAGTTGTGTGACTCCCAAAGATTGAGCGTCCGTCTTGAAAGTGCAAATTTACTTTTTTGTGCCTTTGATCAATCTTTCTCAGTAAAAATCCACACACAAAATGGCTTTAAAATGAACATTAAAGATCCAAACAGAAAAAAAAAGTGATAAGAATTTCCCAACGGCCTGGGAAAAAGGGAATCTTTTTTCTTTCTTCTATTCTATTAGTTTGAGGAGCGCCTGATTTCCCCACGATGCCACACATTTCCCCATAGACCTCTCCGACCAGGCCTATGTAACACGCACGTCTCGGCGGTCGTGGAATGACCAGCGGTCAATCACCTCGGAGGTCTGGCTAGGGCGCGGCACAGCGAGCCCGGCCTGAAGAGACGTCAGATTAAGCAGGGCGCACACAAGAGCTGTGTCAATTCGACTAGAGTGCTGACTATTCGACATGACTACTGACTATTCGACATGACCACTGACTATTCGACTTGACAACTGACTATTCGACTTGACTTCTAAACATTCGACTTGACAACTGACTATTCGACTTGACTTCTAAACATTCGACTTGAATTCTGGCTGTTCGACTAGACTATAGCGGGTAGTTTGGAGGGCACCACTGGTAGGTCCTACTTCTTTACTTTTCCTCTCTTGTTTCTGTCTGCCTGTCTAGACTTTTTCCAGCACTAAGCGACCATTATTGCGTCGATGTGTTTCCTTTCACTTACTCAAACCAACAACAAGAAGGTCCCACTTCTTTACTTTCCCTCTGGTGTTTCTGTCTGTCTGTCTGTCTGTCTGTCTGTGTTTCTGTCTGTCTGTCTGTCTGTCTGTTTGTCTGTGTGTCTGTCTGTGTGTGTCTGTTTGTCTGTGTGTCTGTGTGTCTGTCTGTGTGTGTCTGTTTGTCTGTGTGTCTGTCTGTCTGCCTGTGTTTCTGTCTGTCTGTCTGTCTGTCTGTCTGTTTGTCTGTGTGTCTGTCTGTGTGTGTCTGTTTGTCTGTGTGTCTGTCTGTGTGTGTGTGTCTGTCTGTCAGTCTGTCTGTATGTCTGTGTTTCTGTCTGTCTGTCTGTCTGTCTGTCTGTCTGTCTGTTTGTCTGTGTGTCTGTCTGTGTGTGTCTGTCTGTCTGTGTGTCTGTCTGTGTGGCTGTGTGTCTGTCTGTCTGTCTGTCTGTCTGTCTGTCTGTCTGTCTGTCTGTCGTACTTTTTCCAATCACTAAATTACCATTATTGTGTCCATGTGTTTCTGGGTAGGTTTTTAAATGATGCGATTTTCTT